GCTCTGGCTGACCAGCTGGATTCTCCTCTTCCTTCAGACTTGCTTCTTCCATGTATGGCTGAGGTTTGAGTCTTGAGCTTTTTCTCTGATGTTTGAGACCAGTCAGGAGAGCATCCTGCCTGCAGTTAGCGCCCAGGACCCCGGTTCCAGCTCTGGCTAAATTTACTCCTCAGGTGTTTGTGCAGCATTTCTTGTGGCTCCGTGACATGCTCAGCCTGGAGAGACAGTGACGGATAAGACCAGTGTGGTCTCTGCGCCCTGAAAGAACCAGGGGTGTGCTCAGGATAGAGAGCAGGAGGGCTGGCCTCGTGTGGACAGACAGGGAGGGCTTCTTGGAGGAAGAATTGTTTATGTTGAACTCTAAAGGACCAACAGGAATTAGCTGGGCAGAGGAGCAGGGTGTGACTGTTGGGAGAAAGGAGTTAGGGGTGGGAAGAGCGTTCAGGCAGAAGACATAACTTCTTTACCAGCTCTGTGTGCCCAGGGAATGAGCAGCCCATGAAGAGTCAGGCAGGAAGTGGAGGGGGTTGGGGACGTGCTGTGTCGTTAAGGTGGTCTCAGTCTCAGAAAGTGTGAGAATGGTCAGGGACTCCTGGGAAATGATGATGGCAGATCCCCTGGTCATCCCTGTCATCCAGGTGGACTTGCTCTGTGCTGGGCTCTATTTTCAGCCTTTGTGTTCATCCCCGTTTCTCCCTCACAGCAGTCCAGTGAGGTAAGACAGGGAAAATGGAGCACGGACAAGTCACCCAGGTGGCCAGGTTTACACAGTCAGCAGAACCCAGAGGGTCAGCATTGAGCCCTGGGCACAGAGCCTTTTGCAGGAGATTGACTTCCCATGCTTTGATTGCTTTGTGGAGAAGCAACTGTTGTCACCCCCTCTGCATCTTTTGTTTCTGCCTCCCCAGATTCAAAGAACTGTGGATCAAGAAATATTTGTGAAAACAGTTGCTTCTATTTTGGACATGCATTGGTGTTTTTCTTGCCATTATTCTCCAAACAATAGACTATAACAACTAATTATGAAACACTTGCATGCTACTAGGTACTATATATAATCTAGAGAGGACTTAAACTATATGGTAGGATGTAACTTGCCAAACCTACATGCTTTTACATAAAGGACTTGAGCATCTGTGCATTTTGGTGTCCCAGTCCCCCTTGGCTCCCAAGGGATGACTGTGTAGCTGGAGCCAATGGTCAAAAGGAAGACCTCTGGAGTGTAGTTTGGGTATGCTTTATTAAAACAATAAAAACATGTGGACTGTATCCAAAGAAATGTCCAGGTAGGAAATTATGATGTAATACCAAAAACGAATACGTTGGAGTTTTCTGAGTGAAAGCGCTGGGGCAGTATTTAGAGGTAGGAAGTGCAGAGAATGAGAGGGTCAGCCATTAGACTGAATCCAGCTTTGTTACTACAGTGTTTTCCCACAGCATTTCATGGAGGAGAGTGAGGCAAAGGTAGAGCCGCCTTTAGAAAGGAAACTTGTCAAGCAACTACTTATTTGATACGCTGCAGATGAAATCCACAGAATGGATTTCCTGTGTTAACTGAAGTTGGACTTCTCCAGGAACCAACCGTGTTGGTTATTTTAGCCGTATGTGTAGGCAGCTTTCCAACATGAGTTGTGCACATATTTCAGTGGCTTATTTTTTATTATTATTATTTTTATTTAATGAGCATAAATTTCCAAAGTACAGCTTATGGACCACAATAGCCTCCTCCCCCCCGTATCTTCCCTCCCATCCACAACGCTCCCCTCTCCCACTCCCCCTCCCCTTCCCCTTCACATCACGATTAATTTTCAATTATCTTTATATACAGAAGATCAATTTAGCGTATGTTAAGTAAAGATTTCCACATTTTACTCCCACACAGAAACACAAAGTGTAAAATACTATTTGAGTACTAGTTATAGCATTGATTAAACACCTAAGAGTAATTGTGTATTAATTACAGAGTTCAACCAGTAGTTTTAAGTAGAATATAAAATGCATCTTTCATATTGTTGTGGCTTCCCCCCGACCTCCCTCCCTCCCGTGGCCCTCCCCTCACCCACTTCCTCTCCCATCCCGCCCTTCATCACGTTTCATTTTCAATTACCTTCATATACTGAAGATCAGCTTAGTATATACTAAGCAGGGATTTCAACAGGTTGCACTCACACAACCGAACCAGATATAGGGTATTGTTCGACTAGTAGTGTTGTTTTTGAGTTTCATAGATAAACATATAAAGGACAGAGATCCTGCGTGGGGAGCATGAACCCAGTGACTCCCGTTGTTGATTTAACAATTGGCACTCTTATTTATGATGTCAGCAATCATACGAGACTCTTGCTATGAGCTGTCTAGGCTATGGAAGCCCCTTGAGTTCACCAACTCTGAATTTGTTTAGTCCAGGCCATATCACAGTGGAGGTTCCTTCCTCCCTTCAGAGAAAAGCGCCTCTCTCCTTGATGGCCTGATCCTTCTGCTGGGGTCTTGTTCACCAGGATCTTTCATTTAGATTGTTTTTTTGCCACCGTGTCATGGCTTTCCATGCCTGCGAGACTCTCATGGACCTTTTAGTCAGATCCGAATGTCCCAAGGGTTGATTCTGAGGCAGGAGTGCTGTTTTGGGCATTTGCCATTCTATGAGTCTGCTGTGTGTCCTGCTTCCCCCGCAGGATCATTCTCTCCCTTTTGATTCTATCTTTCATTATTTGCTTACACTGGTCTTATTTGTGTAATCTCTTCGACACTTACCCTATCTTTTTGATCAGTTGTGTATTTATATTTGTCACTTTACCAAGTGTGCTGGCATTGGTACCTGCCTCCTTGGTAAGGCTGAGTTGAAATCCCCTGGCACATTTCTAGTTCCACCATTGGAGGTAGGTCTGAGTGAGTATGTGCCATCCTATATATCTCCTCCCTCTCTTATTCCCACTCCCATGTTCCACAGAGATCAATTTTCTGTTAATTTTTAAACGCTTAAGAATGGTTGTGCATTGATTGCAGAGTTCAACCAGTGGTCTTGTGTAGAGCAAACCGAGCAACAACAACAACAAAAATACTAAAGGAACAAAATAGTAAGTTTTTCCTCAACAGTCTAGACAAGGGCTGCTCATGTCATTGTCTCTCATAGTGTCCATTTCACTTCAATGGGTATCATTTTAGGTGCTCGTTTAGTTGCCATCGATCAGGGAGAACATGTGATATTTGTCCCTTTTGGACTGGCTTATTTCACTCAGCATGATGTTTTCCAGCTTCCTCCATTTTGTTGCAAATGCCCGGACTTCATTGTTTTTTACTGCTGTGTAGTGTTCCATAGAGTACATACCCCATAGTTTCTTTATCCAGTCATCCGTTGATGGACATTTAGATTGATTCCATGTCTTAGCTATTGTGAATTGAGCTGCAACAAATATTGTGGTATAAATGGCTTTTTTCACCCCTTTAATTCCATTTGGGTATATTCCAAGGAGTGGGATGGCTGGGTCCTGTGGTAGTGCTATATTCAGGTTTCTGAGGACACTCCAGACTGTCTTCCATAGTGGCTTTACCAGTTTGCATTCCCACCAACAGTGGATTAGTGTCCCCTTTTCTCCACATCCTCGCCAGCATCTGTTGTTGGTTGATTTCTGTATGTAAGCCAATCTAACTGGAGTGAGGTGGTATCTCATTGTGGTTTTGATCTGCATTTCCCTGATGGCTAGGGATCCTGAGCATTTTTTTCATGTGCCTGTTGGCCATTTGGATTTCCTCTTTTGAAAAAATGTCTGTTAAGGTCCTTGGCCCATTTTTTTATTGGGTTGTTTGTTTTGATTCTGTGGTGTTTTTTGATCATTGTGTAGATTCTAGTTGTTAATCCTTTATCTGTTGTGTGGTTTGCGAATAACGTCTCCCATTCTGTTGGTTGCCTCTTCGCTTTCCTGACTGTTTCCTTTGCTGTTAAGAAACTTCAATTTGAGGTAATCCCATTTGTTTATTTTATCTTTGATTACCCGTGCCTGTGGGGTCTTCTCCAGGAATTCTTCGCCTATTCCGATATCTTGAAGGGTTTCCCCTATGCTCTCAATTAGTTTCATGGTGTCGTGGCGCATCTCTAGTTCTTTGATCCATGTTGAGTGGATTTTTGTATAAGGTGTAAGGTAGGGGTCTTGCTTCATACTGCGGCATGTGGACATCCAGTTTTCCCAGCACCATTTGTTGAAGAGGCTGTCCTTGTTCCAGGGGTTGGTTTTAGGTCCTTTGTCAAATATGAGTTGGTTATAGATGTTTGGATTGATCTCCGGTGTTTCTATTCTGTTCCATTGGTCTATCCATCTGTTTTTGTACCAGTACCAGGCTGTTTTGATTATAACTGCCCTGTAGTATGCCTTGAAGTCTGGAATTGTGATGCCTCCAGCCTTGTTTTTATTGTAAAGGATTGCTTTAGCTATTCTGGGTCTCCTGTTTCTCCATATGAATTTCAGCATCGTTTTTTCTAGGTCTTTGAAGAATGACTTTGGTATTTTGATTGGTATTGCATTGAACTTGTAAATTGCTTTTGGGAGAATGGACATTTTGATGATATTGATTCTTCCAATCCATGAGCATGGCAGGTTTTTCCATTTTTTTGTGTCGTCTTCTATTTCTTTCTTTAGTGTTTTGTAATTTTCATCATAGAGGTCTTTGACCTCTTTGGTTAAATTTATTCCAAGGTACTTTATTGTTTTTGTGGCTATCGTGAATGGGATTGATCTTAGTAGTTCTTCCTCGGCCCTGGCATTGTCTGTGTATACAAAGGCTGTTGATTTCTGAGCGTTGACTTTATATCCTGCTACTTTACCAAACTCTTCTATGAGTTCCAGTAGTCTCTTATAGGAGTTTATTGGGTCCCCTATATATAGTATCATGTCATCTGCAAACAGGGATAGTTTAACTTCCTCCTTTCCTATTTGTATCCCTTTAATTTCTTTTCTTGCCTGATGGCTCTGGCTAACACTTCTAGGACTATATGATAGCATGTGAGAGTGGGCATCCCTGTCTGGTGCCAGTTTTCAATGGAAATGCCTCCAACTTTTCCCCATTCAATATGATGCTGGCCTTTGGTTTATCATAGACTGCCTTAATTGTGTTGAGGAATGTTCCTTCTAACCCCAATTTGCTTAGGGTTTTCATCATGAAAGGGTGTTGTATTTTGTCAAATGCTTTCTCGGCATCTATTGAGATAACCATATGATTTTTGTTTCTCAATTTATTAATGTGATGTATTACATTGATTGACTTTCGAATATTGAACCATCCCTGCATACCAGGGATAAATCCCACTTGGTCCGGGTGAATGATCTTTCTGATGTGTAGTTGGATTCGGTTTGCCAGAATTTTATTGAGTATTTTTGCATCTGTGTTCATCAGGGAGATAGGTCTGTAGTTTTCTTTCTCTGCTGTGTCTTTTCCAGGCTTAGGAATTAAGGTGATATTGGCTTCGTAGAAGGAATTTGGAAGGATTCCCTCTCTTTCAATCATTTGGAATAATTTGAGAAGAACTGGGGTTAGTTGTTCTCTAAATGTCTGGTAAAATTCGGCAGTGAAGCCATCCGGTCCTGGGCTCTTCTTTTTCGGTAGTGCGTTTATTACTGATTCAATTTCTTCCATGGTTATGGGTCTGTTTAGATTTTCTATATCTTCACGGCTCAGTTAAGAATGTTGTATTTGTCCAGGAATCTATCCATTTCTTCCAGGTTCCCCAATTTGTTAGCATACATCTCTTTGTAGTAGTTTCTGATGATTCTTTTTATTTCTATTGTGTCTGTTGTTACATTTCCATTACTATCTTTGATTTTACAGATTTGGGTCTTCTCTCTCCTTTTTTTGGTTAGTTGGGCCAATGGTGTGTCGATTTTGTTTATTTTTTCAAAGAACCAGCTCCTGGTTTTGTTGATCTTCTGTATTTTTTTTTTGGTTTCAATTCTGTTTATTTCTTCTCTGATCTTTAGTATTTCTTTCCTCCTTTTGGATTTGGGCTTGATTTGCTGCTGTTTTTCTAGATCCTTGAGGTGCATGGAGAGTTCATTTGTTTGGTTCCTTTCCAGCTTCTTGATGTAGGCACTAATTGCTATAAACTTTCCTCTTAGCACTGCTTTTGCTGTGTCCCACAGGTTTTGATAGGTTGTGTTATCATTTTCATTTGTTTCTAGAAATCTCTTGATTTCTCTTTTAATTTCTTCGATGACCCACTGTTCATTTAGGATCATGTTGTCCATTCTCCATATATTTGCATATGGTGTAGAGATTCTTGGGTTGTTGATTTCAAGTTTCACTGCTCTATGGTCTGAGAAGCTGCATGGTATAGTTTCAATTTTTTTGAATTTGTTGAGGCTCCCTTTATGGCCTAGTATATGGTCAATCCTAGAGAATGTTCCATGTACTGGGGAGAAATACGTGAACTCTGTGTCTGTAGGGTGGAGGGTTCTGAAGATATCTATTAGGTCTATTTGTTCTATGGCGTCAATTAGCTCAGTTGTTTCCTTGTTGAATTTCTGTCTGGTTGATCTGTCCGTTGAATGCCCTCTAAGATAAACTCTGTATCAGAGTTGTAAGGTTATTTTGGCTTTAAAGGGAAGAGCTTTTCTGCTAAATTCAAGCTTCTGTAGTTACATGAATGGCTGTGACCATAATGTTTTTCTTGTCATGTGCTGGACGTTGAACTTATTGTGCTGTTAACTCTTCTTTCTCATGACAATCAGTGTCAGAGTTAGGAAAAAAGCCAGGCCAAACAGTTCACACTTGTTTGCTGATCTGTGGGGCATCACAGCTACAAAATTACGTTTTTTTGTTTTTTGTTTTTTGGGGTTTTTTTACAGGCAGAGTGGACAATGAGAGAGAGACAGAGAAAAAGGTCTTCCTTTTGCCGTTGGTTCACCCTCCAATGGCCGCTGCAGCCGGTGCACCACGCTGATCCGAAGCCAGGAGCCAGGTGCTTCTCCTGGTCTCCCATGCGGGTACAGGGCCCAGTCACTTGGGCCGTCCTCCACTGCACTCCCAGGCCATAGCAGAGAGCTGGACTGGAAGAGGGGCAACTGGGACAGAATTTATTTGTTCAATGTACAGAGACATTGGTGCTTAGTTGGCAATTCTGGGTGTTTGTGTTGTGGGTATTGAGTCAACTGCTTGCTCTCCAATGGTCAGTAAGGTAAGGGGAAGGCAGGCATGACCCAAGTTCAAAGGTCTGGCAAGTTGCCCAGTGGAGAATGGATTGGAGTGGGGTGAAGAGCAGCAGTGTGATCTGCAGTCATCAGGGCAGAGGGGTAGAAGTGAGGATGGAGAGAAGCAAATAGACCCAGTGCTATTTTGAAGGTAGCAACTCAATCTCTAAGTCATCGGTAAGTTTTAAAGGGAGAAGATCAAGATCAAGAATGGGTTGTTACACTGGCTTGATCAACTGAATATATGGAAAAAAAGACTTTATTAAAGGAGGAAAAATTGAAGAAGAGGCTGATTCAGTGAGGGAACAGGACATGATTTTAATCTCACTATATCTGAGGTAACTGTGGGCTATCAAAGTGGAGATGTCATATATGTACTCAGATCTACAAGATTGATATGACCATCGCAAGAGAATTTGGGGCTGGAAATATAAATTTGGGAATTGTTGCCATTTGGATAGTATTTAAAGACATAAGTACTGACAACTTTATCTATGAAGAAAGCATAAATGCATAAGAGAGAGCTCAGAATGAACCCTAAGGAACTGTGCTAATTACAGGTCAGATTGCCGTGGAAGGACCAGCAAAGAATGAACATCTGAGAAGCTGTAGACAAACCAGGAGAACAAATGCTATGGAGACAAGTAAAGAGAGCATTAAAAAAAGGGTTCATGAAAAGCACTGAACACTGCACACAGATCTAGCAAATGAGGAGTGAAATCGCCATGGGATTGGAAACATGGCTGTCCCATTGATCTCAGCAACAATAGCTTCGGAGGAATGGCCAAAGCTGAAGCCAGCTGGCACCAGGTTAATGACTGAGAGCTATTCATTGCAGTCTCTTTTGAATTGCCAGACTCGGTGCATTGAGGCAACAATTCCTCCCCAGTCAGTCTTTTTTTTTTTTTTTTCTTACAGGCAGAGTGGGAGAGAGAGAGAGAGAGGTCTTCCTTTCCGTTGGTTCACCCTCCAATGGCCACTGAGGCTGGTGCACTGCGCTGATCCGAAGCCAGAAGCCAGGTGCTTCCCCCTGGTCTCCCATGCGGGTGCAGGGCCCAATCACTTGGGCCATCCGCCACTGCACTCCTGGGCCACAGGAGAGAGCTGGACAGGAAGAGGAGCAACCGGGACAGAATCCGGTGCCCCGACCAGGACTAGAACCCGGTGTGCTGGCACCACAGGCGGAGGATTAGCTTATTGAGCCACAGCGCCGGCCCCAAGTCAGTCTTTAAATACAGCTTGAATCCCCCCAGATTTCAACATGGCATTCTATGGAACCTGAAAAATGAATTCTAAAATACTTTTTGATTATCAAAGGTCTAAGTAGTCTAGACGGCAGTGAAGAAAAGAACAAAGCAAATTGTGTGTTAGATATCAGCATTTTTAATTAACATTAACTATAATGTGTATTATTCTTATATGGGATAGACACTATGGAAGAAATCAGAGAGCTCAGACATAGACCTAGAGGCAGGCTTACATATCAGCACAGGCTCTGCCTTGGGAAGGTCAGAAATGGTAGGAACGTGAACCAGTGGTATGGTGGGGTTGGAGGCTTGAGCAACACAAATTTTTGGGCGGGGATAGCAGGGTGGGAACTGTGTATGATCAAGCTCTTGTGCTGAATATGGTTTGAGATCTGGTGGGGAAGAGTCTCCTAGGGAACAGTGAATTCTTGGGCCTGGCTACACAAGGTGGCATTGGCCTCTCCTGCAGCTGCTGCCTCCCTCACAGTAGGCCTCACCACTCTGGTTTTGAGCCACAGGCTTGACAGGAGATGTAAGTGAAGATTTCAGACTTTTCCATGTATCATAATAGGTCATAGTAGCAAAGCAGGGCAGGTGTATTTTCCTGTTGTTTGACTTTTCTTGGATTCAAATAGCTTTTCCTAGAAATTGGGCCCCAGATCAACAGTCAGCCCCTTGCAGGTTGTTGATAAGAAAGCCTTGACAGCCAGCGCCGCGGCTCACTAGGCTAATCCTCCACCTGCTGCACTGGCACTCTGGGTTCTAGTCCTGGTCGCGGCACCAGTTCTGTCCCAGTTGCCCCTCTTCCAGTCCAGCTCACTGCTGTGGCCTGGGAAAGCAGTGGAGGATGGCCCAAGTGCTTGGGCCCTGCACCCGCATGGGAGACCAGGAGGAAGCACCTGGCTCCTGGCTTCGGATCATTGCAGTGCACCGACCATAGCAGCCATTTAGGGGGAGGGGGGGTTGTGAACCAATGGAACGAAGATCTTTCTCTGTCTCTCTTTCTCAATTTCTAACTCTTCCTGTCAAAAAAAAAAAAAAACAAAAACAAAAACAAAAACAACCTTGACAATGTTGCAATGTTGCTGTCAGTTCTAAACTCAGATCTCCTCCAAACTGTGCTTTTGGCTGGCAGGTGCTGTGAATGTTTGCAGTCATGGCAACTCCCGAAAAAGTTGCCCAGTGACTTGGTGTCCTACATATCTTATCCAGGGCATATTTCTTTTAGTGTTTATTAATCTATTTTCATCTACTTAAAAGAGCAACAAAGAGTTGCAGCAGCAGGTTCCACCCACTGGTTCACTTCCCAAATGCCCACAACAGCCAAGGTTGGGCCAGTCTGGAGCCAGTATCCTGAAACTCCATCCATGTCTCCTACATGGATGGCAGAGGCCTAGGCACTTGAACTACCATCTGCTAACTCCCAGGTTACATTAGCAGGAAGTTGGATTAGAAGCAGAGCAGTCAGAACTCAAATGCACTCAGATGTGGGATGCAGCCTTCCCAAGTGCACTTCCCAAGTTCTGCACCACAACACCCACCAATATCTGAGGACAGGATCTGACTTACATTCTGCCCCCCGGAAACCTTTTATTTAAGGAATACAAAATTCATGCTTTTCATAAATACAACTTTAGGAACATAGTGATTCTTCCCAACATACCTGCCCTCCCACCCTTCTTCCTCCTCCCTCTCCTATTCCCATTCTTATATTTTACTAAGATCTATTTTCAATTAACTTTATACACATAAAATTAACTCTATACTAAGTAGAGAGTTCAGTCTTGCATCTCAAATATCATGTACTGAATAAGGCTACTCGTGAAGTGTAATAACTTTGTTTTCAGTTTTTACATTCTGTTTGATGTGATCAATTTTCATATACCTTTCTTTTTCCCTTCCTTTTCTTTTTTTAAAAAAAAAAAAGCTTATTTATTTGAAAATAATAAAAAGTAGGGGGGAAGGGGAAGAGAGATCTTCTATCTGCTGGTCACTCTTCAAATGCCCACAACAGCCAGGGCTAGACCAGGCCAAAGCCAGGAGCCAGGAAACCCCATTCAGGGCTCCCGAGAGCCCAAGGACTTGGACTTTCATCTGCTGCCTTCCCTGAGCATCATCAGGAAGCTCTATCAAAGGCATGGAGTAGCCAAGACTTGGGCCAGGCACTCCAATACAGGATGCAGGTGGTGGCTTCAGCCTGGTACACTACAACGTCCACCCCCTTCCTTCTTTTCTTAACACTGTTCAAAATTTTTAAACAGTATTACCTTTTCCCCAGTCTTACAACTTAAGTGGGAAAAATGTAAACCCTTTTTAGTTTGTGTACGCATGTTTCAATGTTTTCAAGGGTCTTTTTTTCTGTTGGGTGATAATGTCAATTCAAGAGTGAAATTCAGGAGGCAGACACAATCTGGGCTCGGTTTTGAGAGTCCAGAGTAACGGTAGCACTATTCAGGAATAAGGTGTGATGTACCTGAGGGGTATTAATTGGAACTAAGTTTTAAATTTGGAAGGCACTGGTGTATAAATGATATTTCACACCTGGTATGGGGTAAAATTATGTTACTGAAGAGAGTGTAGATAGAGAAGGAGAGGGAGCCCAATATTGAGACTTTGGCACTTGAACTCCATAGGCTGAGAAAGGCAATGCAAAAAAAAAAAAAATTCTAGCTCAGGGTTGAAGAATGCATTAGAATTCTAAATCTGAGAGTCTTCAATATAGAGGAAGTGTCTGAAGCCATGGGAATAAATGAATATACTTTTAATTAGTTTAAGTTAGATATAGTAACAAATATCTCCAAAACTTCAGTTGCTTAAACCACAAAGATTTATTTTTATCTCCTAGTTCATGAGGTTCCTGCATATCATTCACATCTAGGCTGATGGTATAGCTGCCAACTGGAAAGTTACCAATTAAGTGGCGTCCAGTGAAAATGATAGGTGTCACTCCTCATATTTCATGGCCAGAGGAAGTTAATTGTCCACATGTTGCTTCAGTGAGGCCAGGAATTGCAGTTCTTCCAAGTGGCTGGAAGTAGAACAAAAAGGAGATACTAATGAACATTTAACAAAAATTCAAAGATTTGTTTATTTATCCAAAAGGCAGAGTGATAGAAAGACAGGGAGAGATAGAGAAGTGACAGGGAGGATCATTTATCCATCCACTAGTTTACTCCCTAAATGCCTGCAACAGCCAGGGCTGGACCAGGCCAATGCCAGGATCCAGGAACTCCATCCTGGTCTCCCGTGTGGGTGTCAGGGGTTCAAATACTTGGGGCATTGTCTGCTGCCTCTCAAGGTGCATTAGCAGGAAGATGGATCAGAAGCAGAGCACCAGGATTCAAACCAGTACACCAATATGGGATGTCATCGTCACAAATGGCATCTTAACCTACTGTGCCACATACCCACCCCATTAGTGAACAGTTTTAGCACCCATCACAATCTATCCTTCTGGACCCCAAATATTTGATTCATTCTTTTTTTCTACAAATATCAAAGTTCCATCAACTTCACAGTCAGGGTATCTTCATGATGTCCAGTAGTCTCTTTCTAAGATGCAGATATATTTTCTCTTATTCTGGAGATCTGTGAACTGAAAGGACAAGTTAGTGGACACCACCAACCCTACAAACACAAGCACATACACACAACGTATAGTGGTAGAACGAGGACCTAATCATTGCAGTGAGCACTCCCATTCAGAAGGGAGAAGATTGGGAGACAGGTAGTGTCCGTGGCCATATAAATCATAAGATCCCACTGGGAAGAGACTGTGAGAACCCATTCCCTCAATCATTCTGCTCTTCAGCAAGGACTTCCTCATTGACTATGCTCCTGGTCTTGGTTCCACACTCCACAGAGAAGAGGGCATTGGAGACCACGGCCTCCTTGAGGGCTGGCAACTTTCTCAGCCTGCTGCCTACCTGTGGTAGGCTGGGGGACTCCAGGACTGTCTTAAATGGGGAACGGTCACTGTCCTTTGCTATGTGAAGCTCGGGTTCCTCTGTCCTACATTGGCTTTGGATCTGGCGGATATGGCCAGATGCCATACCCACGTTTCTCTTGGAGTCTTTTCCAGTAAGCTTTATTTCTTTATTTCTTTATTTTCTTGCCACCGACCACTGCCTCTGTCTCAACTTAATTTTAGGTGGCTTCAACAGGAGAACCTACCTACCGCTAAACCTCTTTTCCCTAAACCATCATATCTGATCTTTCCATGATGTGTGAATCTGTCCTCGAACAACCAGAATACAGGTGAAAGTCAGTCGCTTCTTCCACTTTGGTCATTGGAGTCTCCCACCACTGCCCTTCTGCTGCTACTGTAGCAGGTATGATTCCAGGTGGGCAAAAATGATGGTCTGTCTCAGTCTATGCAAGTTCTCATTCTGTGAGTAGCAGAAACTTAGTCTCAGTTTGTTGAAGCCCTCTCCGGCACCATCCCAGTTCCTACCATCCCTCCCTACCTCCTTAGGATGGCATCAAAGGCATATTTAGTGTATAGCATATGTGTTTTGTATTTTAGATCTGTAATTAAAAAAAGGTCATGATTAACACTTGGCCATCCATGTGGAAGCAATTCACTAGTTAAATCTCTCACCACATGCAGACAATTCCAAATGTGTTAAGATATGAACATTAGGAGAGAATACCTACAATAATAATTAAAAATAGATTATCGCATTCGTTTGGGGGAAGAAGGGCTTTTTAAATAAGGCACAAAACCCACAAGCCATAGAAACATAGTAGAATGTCTACAGATTCTATTTCATTAATTTTTGGCTTCTTTGGGTAAAAATCATTTTAAAAAACTGAGAAGACAGCAGCCAGTGGTGAGAAATTAATTTAAAGTTTTAAGTCCAAAACACATAAAGGGTGCTGCAAATCACTAAGGAAAACCAATGAAATTAATCAGGAGCTCACAGAAGAAATGCAAGTGGCTCGTGTGCATGTCGAAAGTTTTTCACTCCTATGAGTAATCGGAGAGGTACAACTTAAAAACAACAGCAAAGAACTCCAAGGTACCACATTTTATTTACCAGGTTGGCAGACATTTTAAAGACTGAAGATGCCCAGCCTGGGCAAGGGCATGAGAGATGGCTACTCACATGGTGAGTAATGAAGTGGAGGTTGGTATAGGATTCCTGGATGACAGTGTATCAGCATCTATGTAGATTTTACAGGCGATTCCACGTTGACCCAACAACTCCACATCCAGGAATGTTTCCTACAGCAGCCTCTTCCTGTGCAGGCCAGGATGGGCAGGCCAAGGTCTTTTAAATTTGCTTTAAAATAAAAGGACAAAGCCCATAGAAAGGAACCAGTTATGTAAATCACAGTTCCTCTACACAATGGAAAGCTATGCAACCAGCTCTGTCTGATGACTTGGAAAAATACCTATGGTATATGAAACATACATCACCTAAGAACATATGCTAGGATTTTTATCATACTAGAAAAATGGAGATTGTGCCCCCAGCTCTGCAGTGTACCTCCACCAAGGGAGGTTTGAGCTGGGAAGTAGGGCCCCAAAACCAGACAGAGGGATATGAGAGGCAAGGGTCACCTCTGGCCTTGGCTCTGCCTCCTCACCTGTCCCATCGCCCACCACCTGGCTGCTTCCACCCTTGCTCCCTCCCGCACCTTCCTGAGTTACTGAAGCTCTGCAGGGTCTCCTCTCCCCTCTGGCAGGGTTGCTGGTCCTTGCCTCCTGTATCCTTTGTCTGTTTCTGTCCCACTCTCCTAAGTCTCTGCCTCATGCTTGGCTCCTGTGGTAGAGTTCTGTCCGGGAGAAGGGGCCACACTGCTGGGGACGCAGCATCTTTCCCACTCTCTTCTCACTCCTAACATCAGAGGGCTGCGGAACTTGGTTTACAGTGGCCTGGTCATCTGGCCAGGGGCCTGGAACTTTCCTTGCAGATGACCACTTGGAAGCCCCAGGGCCTCTGCATGTGTCATTGTCCCCGGGTTGTAATCTGACCTTGCGTCATGCATTTCATATATGCAGATCTAGGAACATAGTGATTCTTCAAGTTCCCTTCTAATAGGAGCATCCAGCCCATTGCAGCAGGTGTTGGCTGGGCCCCCGCAGCTCCCAGCTGAATTTCTGTACAATCAGGAATGGAGCCTAGCAAAGAAGGCTTTTTCCTTGTTGCCCCTCATAATTTATTGTTTTATTTATCCAGAGACCATGTGTGATTTAGTTGATTTAAAAAAGAAAAGGAATAATAGCAAAGAAAGAGATCCTAGAAGTCTGTAATTCTCCTTAACAATACCTCACTCTCTGGCCACCTCTGGAGCGGGTGTTGCTGGCTGTAGGTGCTCTAGTTTCCTGCCTATATGCCACGACCAGATCTTCAGACCACATCCCCATGCCTCTGGCTTCATGGCCACATCTCCCTAATTGGGGCCACCACTCCACGCAACCTGTCACCCCATATCCCCCTATGCTGCAGGCTGCATGATGCAGCCAGACTGCATTTTTTTTTGACAGGCAGAGTGGACAGTGAGAGAGAGAGAGAGACAGAGAGAAAGGTCTTCCTTTGCCGTTGGTTCACCCTCCAATGGCCGCCGCGGCCGGCACGCTGTGGCTGGCGCACCACGCTGATCCGAAGGCAGGAGCCAGGTGCTTCTCCTGGTCTCCCATGGGGTGCAGGGCCCAAGCACTTGGGCCATCCTCCACTGCACTCCCGGGCCACAGCAGAGAGCTGGCCTGGAAGAGGGGCAACTGGGACAGAATCCGGCGCCCCTACCAGGACTAGAACCCGGTGTGCCGGCACCGCAAGGCGGAGGATTAGCCTAGTGAGCCGTGGCGCCAGCCCAGAACTGCATTTAAGAACACTTTTGTGCACCTCCTGTTTCCAGCCTGAAGAGCTCTCAGAGCCATTTTGTGGGCACTCATGTCCTTTTGTGGCAGGAGCTTCCCATTTTCTGCAAATTCCACAAATCGCCACCAAATGCATGTCTGCAGGGGCTCTTGGAACTGTGGCAGCCTGGGAAACTTCACAGGTGTTCCTGGGTGCAGAGAGACAGAGAGCCTGCAGACCTTCCCTCTCCCCATCTACCACACTTCAGCCCACACCCTCTTCCATTCTCGAAGGAGTTCTGAATGAACTGCTTCCTTATCTTTATGGTCCTGAGAGGGTCGCAGAGCCTTTTGCTCCTAATGATATGTCTGGCTCAATGCCTAGCATCTGTACAAAGGACAGTATCCCAGACTGAGACTGGCCATGGGATTGGCATGCCCATAGCAGATCTTTCCTTACTCTGTAGTTTATACAAAAAAAAAATCCACCTCTTCACCCCCAGTTATTCATTCAATCTTTCAAGAGTTTTGAGCACCCACTTTGAATCAGATACTGTCTGAGGTATGGGGAAATGGGTGAAAATATAGTGTCTCTGACCCTTGGAGCCTCAGTTCCACTTGGATGCTGATTTGCAAAGCATTTGCCTTGGGTTTGTTAAAACAGCCAAGCTGTATCCAGCAGCTGTCACTTGTCTTCTCTGTGGGATGTACTCTCACGGTTTCTCAATGTCCTCCATTAATTTAAGGTAAAATTTGAATTTGAATTTGGGAGCAGGAAGCCAAGCAATGATCACATTGACTTAAAAAGCACTACATTATTTTATATTGAACAAAATTCTTAATATCTTTCCTAAGTGATGTTAAAACAAATGAGTGGAGTGGTGAGGTGGTTTTTTCCTTTCTTTTCATCTTTAATTCTTTAAAAAGGCTTTAAAGGCTAACTGTGGGCCGAAGGTTGTGCTGCGAGGGAGGAGAACACAAAAGACATGTTGATGCAGGAAAGAGCAAAATTTCTCTGGGGAAGAAATGAGGATGACCCTCAAGGTCAACGTTTCTTTGACTGCACAGGACTGCAGGTGGCAGCCCGAAGGCTCTCTTCCCATACTGTGTTCAGGGCTGCAGCAGCAGCATCTTTGCCTTCCCCTAAATCCTGGTGATATGGTTTTCATGTCTTCTCCCCAACTATAAAGCCTTCTGACCCCTTGTACTGAAATGTTGAACCTAAGAGCAGCACAAACACACACATACACAAATGCATATACATATGTGCAGATTCACACACATGCATATACCCAAACACTGATTATACACATATAAATAGCAGCTTGATTAGGTGTGACACAAATAGAACTTAATTAAATAGTCTTTAAAATATGAGCAAACTGCTGGACTCCCTCCTATTAACATCTTATGAGCAATTTTAAACTATTCCACAGTTCCTTCTCTCTCTCTAAAAGTGATTAATTAATTTGCCATTTATATTACCGTTTACATTTTTATTAAGCTTTTACAGAGAATAAATGCATTTCTTAATTAATCTGTGGATATAAATATATTAGCATTTAAATTCAAGAGCAAAAGAGGACAATGAAGATTTTGACTGCCCGTAACGTGATATGTAGGGGTTTTGTTGGAGTAGAAATTAGCAATACATGAACTTACATAAGGGTAAAGAATACCCAAAATCCAGCGTTTTACCTTTTATAGATAAAACATGCCGTAGGTTTCCCACCATTTAGTGTACTAAATATTCTGAAAACTGCTTTCTTAGCTATAAAAGCTTAGTAAGATGCAAGAAACTGCCTTTTACATGTAGAAAAATTCACTGGGGCCGGCTCCGTGGTGCAGTAGGTTAATCCTCTGCCTGCAGCGCTGGCATCCCATATGGGCACCGGTTCTAGTCCTGGCTGCCCCTCTTCCAATCCAGTTCTCTACTATGGCCTGGGAAAGCAGTGGAAGATGGCCCAAGTCCTTAGGCCCCTGCACCTGTGTGGGAGACCCAGAAGAAGCACCTGGCTCCTGGCTTCGGATCAGTGCAGCTCCAGCCATTGCAGCCATCTGGGGAGTGAACCAATGGAAGGAATACCTTTCTCTCTGTCTCTCCCTCTCACTGTAACTCTACCTATCAAATAAATAAATAAAATCTTTTTAAAAATTCACTGTTTCATTTTAACATGTTATTAAAATACATACCAAGAAATGTACATAACTTTTCAAATGAGTTTTTTTATCAGATCATACTAATAAATAGCACCCAAATTCACAACAAGCCAAGAGTCCTCACTGTTAACCCCCATTTCTTTTTTTTAACACATGAAGTAAGAGTAGACTATCATTTGCATGGTATGATTCAGTAAAACACTAACTATATATACAAAGATAAGACATCTACACAATTTTTATATTCTCTCTATATATTAACTAACACAAATAACAAAAAATATTGATATTTGCCTTTTGGGGCCTGGCCTATTTCTCTTATCAGTTTTGTTGCAAATGTCAGGGCTTCAGTATTTTTATATCTGG